AAACTAGATACACAATCAGTGACAAAAAAATGTCCTTACCAAATGAGCGCCTACATTTGGTTGCGCTTTTAATCTGTACGTAGGTTTGTGAATACAACTTTAGGCAATGCATTTAAGGTTGAATTTAGATTAATGTATATTTATTTCAACTAGAATTACGTCAAAACAATTGGCGACAGTTTTTTGGAGACAGTTCTCAGATAGAGAACTTGCATGGGATTGTGTATCTAGTTTTTTATTAGTGATCGATGTTCTTTTGGTATAAAACGGAACTTTACACATGAAATGTTCATAAACAAACAGAGGGACAGACAGACAATTCTAGAAATATATTTAATTACTTATTTTCAGTCTATCTCTTAATCAATTTTTGTCATATAAATATAAAATGCAGAGACATCTGCAATTAACATTTATAGATTTAGTTTTGAAATTGGGTTCTTACTTTCTATATTAGTAGTTTAATTTTGTGATTGTAAATTTTATTTTTTTTACTTTTATATTCTTCAGAATCGATTTTAATGTAAGCTTCATCAGATATTCTATACGTTTACGCAACAAATGATGTTCATTTGGAGACTTTGGATTTTTTCCGGAGCTAATATTATGTGAGATGGTGGTCCTTTACTGATGGCCGTACGAGGAAGCTCAAGGTCGTTCAGAGAGCTAATAACTATGGAAAGGGCTATGCTCGGGGTTCCTCTGCGTGATAGACTTAAAAATGAGGATATTCGCAGTAAAACCAGAGTAACCGACATAGCCCAACGGATTAGTAAGCTGAAGTGCCAATGGCCCGGCCATATAGCTCAAAGAACCGACAATGGATGGGTAAGAAAGGTTTTTGAGTGGCAGCCTTGTACAGACGAAAGGGTAGGTGGTCCCCCGACTAGATGGAGTGTCGACCTGGCAAGACATGAAGGGACAAGGAACAAGGAAGTCGATGGATGCAAGTGATTCAGGACCGTGCTTTGTGGCATTCCTTGGGGGAGGCCTATGTTCAGCGGTGGACTTGTGAAGGGCTGTAAATATGTTGAACGTACACATACATCCACCACTGATATCATTTTGAAAGCAGTAGAGTTACAGTAAGTAGAGTTACACTAAATTATTAACGGCTATGACGATGATGAAGTCAAAAGTAAATTCCATAAGGTTTATCCACATTTAAGAACTGAAATATTTGATTTTACAGCCGTTCGGAGCTCAAAGGTTTTGGAAAAACTATGCTGAAATTTAGTTATTTAAATATAGGATCCATCACAAAAACTTGCAAATGTTTTGAAATAACTGTTAATGTTTGCCAATGATTTGAGTCGAAGATATTTTCATAGAAGTATAATTTAGGCAAAAGTATTTCTAGGTTCATTTAGCCTTTTATTTCAATTTTATCTTTAGTTCAATTTTACTTTATTCTTAAATTGTCGAGACTTTTTTATTACTACTTGTAATTACCTATTTGTAAAAATATAATATTTATACCAATTATATTTAAACTTTACTGTCTGTAATATCGATATAACTTAATATTTTATTGTGCTGAGGGGGTTATACATGGTAGGACATAAAATAGCTGAACCGTTTGTGATGAAACTTAACGAACGAAAGAGAGAGAGAGAGAGAGAGAGAAAAAGAGAGAGAGAGAGCAATTCTGGTAGAGATCTAAGCTATATTTTATTCAAAAATCTTGAATATTTTTGAGAAAACGCAAAATTGGTAGAATAACCATTTATCTACCAATTTTTCGTTTCGTCGTCTTTGATTATGTTAAATATAAACGACACATTCATAGATCCTATCCAGGGTGGTTCGCCAGTTTTGTAATAATATAATCATGAAATTATCTGTAAGATAACCAATGAACAGAAAGTTTTTCATTCACACCATCTTGTAACTTAACGAAGATTTCTGTAAGCCTGACTAAAATAAATCAATAAATAATAAACAGTAACAGTTCAGTAGTGGAGTGGCTAAACATTTGGCTGCGACGCCGCGAGCCCTCGAGTTTAAATCCCGGATGAAACAAACATTTGTATGGCCTATAAATAATTATGTCAGATGCAATTTATGTATGTAAAACATTACTGAAGATGATACTTTAGGAAATCCTACAGGGGCGGTAAAAACTACAGCCTACCTTCGTCCCACCGATAGGCACAGGCCTACTCACATTTCTGATAGAGTTCTAGGGTAAAGAAATGACAATGAGAAAGATAAGACTTCATAATATGTCTCCGAATTATTTTTTTACTTCTCAGACATGCCGGTTTCTTTACGATGTTTTCCTTCATCGCCCACCACGTAGTAAATCAGCACTCACAGCTGCAAATAGAATAGAATATAAATAAGACTTATTGAAAGTAATTTTTTCAACATCATCATCATTACAGCCTATCACATATCCACTGCTGAACATAGAAAAAATTGCTTCCAAGTAATGCCAAGCATAGTCCTGAGTACCACCCTATAGTATAGTACATAGTAGTCACTCCATCTAATATTGGGCCGCCCTACCCTTCGCCCACCATCTGTGCCGGGTACTTTCGAGAACCTTTCTTCCCTATTGCTTGTCGGTTCTTTGAGTTATATGGCCGTCTATTGCCACTTCTGCTTTTTTTTATAGGATAGGGTGACAAACGAACACACAGTCCACCTGATGGTAATTGGTTGCTATGGCCCATAGATACATATATATCTACATTTATCCTCGTTTGCGAATCAAAATGCAGATGCGTTGTCACCCGTGAGGAATAAGATAGAATGCCTCTTTTCCAGTAAAAAGGGTCTCCGGTTCTCTACACTCACCATACGAAACACAGCATTGTTAAGCTGCTATTTTACGTTGGTATTCTGTGAGAGCGTGGTCCTTCCCCGGTCGAGCCGACCCACTCGTGCTACAACTATACTACTAATATAGCTGCAGCATGGCTCTACCACGTAAAAACTCTCACTCACTCACTGCTTACTGATCAGTTAAGTTATGTCGGTTACTCTGGTTCGACTGTCGCTTTACTTTTATAATAATTACCTTTAATCCTTGGCTTTTAATTTCGACTCATACTTTAAAAAAATAGTATATTATTTGAAATATGGATCTATGTATATAGCCCACCACAATATCGCTAAAGTATTACTAATGACGTTGTTTATTTAAAAGACGTCAAATTAGGAATCCTTGAAGAACGAATTGATTAGAAATTAGAATTGCGCAACATAAACATTCTACACTGTCGCAACCAATACCTTGATGTAGCTAAATTATTGACGTAAATGCAGTCCACTTATTTGCGCATCTTGTACGCCTCTTGGACGTTATAAATTACTATCCTTCCTTTAATAGATTTAAATGTTAACTCCCGGAAATCCATTCTTGACAAGGATAAACAAGATATATGACGCAAAGGTATTTATTAAGTTATGTTTCTTTTGCAATTTGCAGCAGCATCTTTCTGATAACAACAAAAACTTCAATAAAAAAACTGTGGTTGCCGACCCGCTTGTCAGTTGTGGCAACTATGGCAAACATCCCCCCATGAGCAACAACATAAAGAAACGGGCCCCTGCCCCGGCGGCCCCGCTATTTCCGGATACAGGGGCGACCATAGTAATCGCGGGGGCTGCGAGTGCTAAAATCTCCGGTGGAGGTCCGGTTACCACCTAAGGTGACAAGACCTGGCAACATTCAACAACGCAATCACCAAACGATAATAATCCTTGTAGGCCATACAAGTTTATGCACCAACATCGGCACATCACGATGATTGGGTGGAGGAAATGTATGAAGATATCTCTAGAGATATGCAGTCCTCCAAAACCCAATACGGTGTTAGAGTTCTGCGTTTAAGTTTCTGCCTACTTAGGCACAAGAAAAACGGAGAGCTGAAGGTAGAGAAATTCGGGAGAAGGCAAAGGAAACCAAGGGGCCAGCAGATGTCCGACTTCATGGAAAAGGAAGGAGTCTTTATGAAGAACACTTTCTTCCAGAAGCGGACTCACAGAAAGTGGACCTGGTCGAACCCCGACGGTTCGACAAAAATGAGACGAGTGATCGCTATAAAATTATGTTTACACGGTTGAATATTCTGAAGTAAATTTTGTGTGAATATAGACATTATTTCAATACGATTTTTTTATATGTGTTAGAATCATGCTGCAGTTATATTATGGTTGTATCACCAACGGGTTGTTTCGACCAGGGAAGGACTAAGCTCTATGCTATGGTGAGTGTACAGAACCGAAGAACCTTTTTACTTGTAACAAAGAATTCCATATCCTCAGGCGTGACAACGCATTGCATTTTTATTCTTAATCAAAGATAAATGTAGATGTTTATGGGCCATCCTTACACTTACCATCAGGTGGACTGTGTGCTCGTTTGTTACCCTTATTCTATATAAAAAAAACTCCGTCACTCTTAGTAGAAAAAAATCGAAGTAGTTTTCGTCAATCATTTGTAAATACTTTTTAAAAAACTCCGTCACTGTTACTAGAAAAAAACCGAAGTACATTCGTCAAACGTTTCTAAATACTTTTTACTGTGAATATTATGATAATTCATTCAAAATATAAAAATGGGACCATTTTATGGTTTGTGTAGACTCTCTTTCAGTTACCAAAGTATAATTCTATTCACATTTTTATAATTTCAACAAACACTAAAATGTAATAAAGACATCTTACTTATTGCGCCGATCATAACACGTCTGCCGGATAATTTTGTACCTATATAATAAAATAATAATGAGAAAAACAAGACCTCGTATATGTCGGCAAATAATTGTGATGGAGACATAATTACGGTATGGTCGAACTGTTTTGCTCTAATATACTGATTGTATAGTGCAGTACGCTGTTTTATTGCCGATAATGATAAACTGCGTAAGCAGGAGAGCAAGTTGAACATCCTCTCTCAAACTATTATTACTTTTAACAATTATACTCCTGGTGTATTTCCGAGATCTATATTATTAAATAATTAAAACTAACTGGAACGTTCTACTCACTTCTTTTCCAGTACTCGATATTCGGGGCTATCTTCTTTGATGTCCATATGTAGTGGTATCAAAGACGGCACCAAGTTAAGCGTGTTGTCCAGAAGATCACGACCCAGGACCATATGCGCTATGTATCTGAGAAGAAATTATTAAAATAAGTCACCGTTAATCTTCTCTAAGGTGACTACGGAGTACACGATACGCCGCGATCCTTATTTTATTACAAATGTTTACCTAAATTAAAGGTTAATAGTAACTCTCTCAGAAATGAGATTGTGACCAGCTGTGGGATGCATAAAACCTGTAACCTTACTTTACTTTCAAAAAAGTAAAGTTACAGCCTATATACGTCCCACTGCTGGGCACAAGCCTCCTCTCATTTCTGAGAGGGTTTTAGGGCAAGGAAATGTCCGCCGCGCTTCCCCAATGTGTGTTGGCGAACTTCACATGTCTTCGAAATATTTTTTTTCTTATTTCTTAGACATGCAATTTTCCTCACGATGTTTTCCTTCACCGCTAAGCACGTGGTAAATCAGCACTTAAAATTGCAATTAACAATTTCATTGGTGCCGGCGGGGATCGAACCCGGGTTGCTCGGGTACTGTGAAACTTACAGCGACCATCTGAGCTACCACGGCTCTGATGGTTAGCGCTCGCTGTAAGTTTTTTTTAAGTTGTTCTTTACTTTCAAATGGTATAAAATTTAATAGCATTTAAAGGTCGTACACTTCTCTGATTGCATCCGTGATTCCAGTGGGTAAATAAAAACATAGTTGAGTTTTCTTGTTTACTTTGACCCAGAGACGGCTAAAAGTGCAACGATAGCTTCAAGTTAATGAACCCGACACAGCACACTTTATCGGTCATTAGTAAAAAGCAAAGAAAAATAAAAAGAAAAGCAAATCTTTGGAGGATATAAAAACTTAAATACTTAAGCTAATGATTTCTTATGTTTCCTCGAATATTTTATTTCTTTTCAACGTTATAGAGCCACGCTGCTATATTATGGTTGAAGCAAGAATGGGTCGGCTTGATCGGGGTAGGAACACGCCCTCACAGAATGCCAGCGTAACATAGCAGCTTAACACTTCTGTGTTTCATATTTTGAGTGTAGAGAACCGGAGTCCCTTTTTACTGGAAACGAGACATTCGGTCTTAGTCCTCAGGGGTGACAACGCATCTGCATTTTAATTCTTAATCGAAGATAAATGTAGATGTCTTTCGATCCCCGCCGGCACCAATGAAATTGTTAATGGTAATTTTAAGTGCTGATTTACCACGTGTTCGGCGATGAAGGAAAACATCGTGAGGAAACCTGCATGTCTGAGAAATAAGAAAAAAATTTTTTCGAAGACATGTGAAGTTTGCCAACACGCTCTGGGGCAGCACGGTGGACATTTCCTTGCTCTAAATCCGTCTCATAAATGAGAGGAGGCCTGTGCCAAGCAGTGGGACTTAACTAACTAACATTTTGACTGTGGATTCTGTGCTCTTTTTTCATCCATATTCTATAAAAAAACATTGATGAAAACTAATTACGGTGTATTTAATACAGGGCTTGATAACGTTATCCAAAACACCGTTAGTTAACAATACGTTTATATAGTATAAGTAACTTTATAACGGCAGTACGAAGTAGCGTTAGGTACCTTGTTGCCCTAACGATGAAAAAACATTATTAGAAATGGCAATAATCTAAAAATGACGTTCCAAATTGAAAACATAAATAAAACATAGAGTACGAAATTTCAGTGCCGGTACCAATTAAACGTTAAGTGTCAATTTTAAGAGTTGATGTAACACGTGCTCGTCGTCATTATAATTTGAAGTACCTACGTCTTTTTGCTCGCAAAAAATATCAAATCTCAACGGCCTTTTAATGTTTACGGTTGAAGTTAAATTAGTTAATAAAATTATGTGTAACGCTACTTCAATTTACAGCTAAAGCGTTGGCTCGTTATTCAGTCAACAGGTAAATAGGTACACTGATATTATTCGTAACTCGTAAATAAAACAATTCAAAGCAAACTTATATATTTACTGCTTTTAAAAGTATTGTCCATTACATTTTAAACACTTTTTCATTCTATTAAATCATTTTTGAAAACATAACGACAATTGGTCAGAGGGTACGTTTTTCACGTGCTGGCTTGAAAGCTGTCACGGCGTCTTCTGACTTCGGGCGGCCAGGAGCGCATAACTCGCAGAAATTTCAGTATGCCGTACGTACAAGTTGTTTTAGCGCTACCTTTGCTTAGTATTTGTAATATTGTCACCATTTTAACCCTGCTGTTGCAGTACCAGGTTGACTGTGGAGCGTGTCAAATTAGTTTTGTTATGATTTTTATAAAAAAAAAAATTAAAAAAACGTGTGTTTGTACTTATGTAGGCACGTAGGAAGTTATACTTTAATAGCGTAACAAAGAAAAATAACTACCTTAAATATAGTTATCAGTTCCCACGAAAACTTGAGAGACAGTTACCAAATGAAGTATGAATAGAATACCTAGTCAGGTCATAAGTATTGCCACACAGTAAAAAAATTTCTTTTAGAAATGCCACAAAAAAGTTTATTGAATTCGAATTTCGAATTGTTCATGAAAATAAAACTGTATACTTTTTAGAATTTTACTCATTTTTAAATATGGAGTGGACGCTTAAAGAAGACCGTGTTGCAGTTATTGCGTTGCATCGTTGCGGTTACGCGCCAATTCAAATTTTTGACATACTGAAAAATTTGAATATAACCAAAAGATTCGTTTATCGTACCATCAAACGATACAATGAAGACTCTAGTGTAGATGACAGGTCAAGAAGTGGTCGCCCTCGGTCTATTAGGACTCCAGCAGTGATAAAAGCAGTGAAGGCGCGAATTCAAAGAAATCCCAAACGTAAGCAGAAACTGTTGGCCCTTCAGATGGGGTTAAGCAGAACCACGGTGAAAAGGGTGTTAAATGAAGACTTAGGGCTTCGGGCATATTGAAGAAAACCAGGACATCGTTTGAATGCTCGTTTAATGGACCTGAGACTGAAGAGATGCCGCGCTTTGTTGAAGCCGTACGCGGGAAAAAAATATCGGGAAATTCTTTTTTCGGATGAAAAAATTTTTACTGTAGAAGAGAGCTACAACAAACAAAATGATAAGCTGTACGCACACAGTAGTGAAGAAGTGAGCAACCGTATTCCGCGTGTCCAACGAGGTCATTTTCCATCCTCGCTCATGGTATGGTTGGGAGTTTCTTATTGGGGCTTAACAGAGGTACATTTATGTGAGAAAGGTGTAAAAACGAATGCAGTTGTGTATCAAAATACAGTCCTGACGATCCTTGTGGAACCTGTTTCTCATACGATGTTCAATAACAGGCACTGGGTATTCCAACAAGATTCGGCGCCAGCTCATAGAGCGAAGAGCACACAAGACTGGCTGGCGGCGCGTGAAATCGACTTCATCCGGCACGAAGACTGGCCCTCCTTTGACTAGATTTGAATCCGTTAGATTACAAGATATGGCAACACTTGGAGGAAAAGGCGTGCTCAAAGCCTCATCCCAATTTGGAGTCACTCAAGACATCCTTGATTAAGGCAGCCGCCGATATTGACATGGACCTTATTCGTGCTGCGATAGACGACTGGCCGCGCTGATTGAAGGCCTGTATTCATAATCACGGAGGTCATTTTGAATAAACTTTAGTATCATAAGAATCTATGTTTTGTTAAGTTCATTTTGGTTTATAAATGGTTATATAATGAATAAACTTGTTTCAATTATTTTATATTAAACATGTGACTAGGTATAAGAATATGAATGTAACAATTTCATGGTGTCATTTTTAGCTGTCGGTGTGCGCGCGCATTGTAAAAAAATCACTCTCGTAATTTTTCCCAAACGCCTCAAAAGAAGTATAATTTCAAAATTAAACACATTAGAAAATCTTTCTGTATCGTGGAGGAATTTTACACAAAATTATCATACACACCCAGAAAATTATTAGTCGGTAATACCCTGTTTGACGGATCGAATCCGCCGAAACGAAAAGTACATCAGTTTATTAAAATTCTCATACCACTAAAACTGTAAGCATGACTTTGTCCAAGCTTACCTTTCGTGTGATCGGGGCTGCAAGTATCCTCGAGCGAAGTAATTTATCCCAAGCACTGATGCGATGCCCTTGCATTCTATACTTCGCAAAAGGTTCTTAAAACCCACCAAGTATCTGCAAAATAACAAGTTTTTAATACACTAGAATCTTTGATTTTCAATTTGAGACCTACATGCGTACAATATATTTTTAAATTATTTTATTATTATTTTTTATTATTTATTTTTAAAAAGTGTTACCCCCACACTAGGATTTTCTCCTGTATCGTGGAGGCAGTTTAAAAACATAAATTGCACAAAGACAAATATCCAGACCCGGAACAATTATTTGCAGGCCATTCAAATACCTGTTCCGTGCGGGATTCGAACCCGCGGCCCCCAGCGCAACAACTCATTGCTAAGTCACTGCGTCACGGAGCCGCTATAATAGTTAGTAGTAATAGTTAGTGAAGAGCACATAATAATCTACTGTTGGATATAGGCTTCTACCGTTGTAAAGATAAGAAATTGGCCTAAATCTTCACGTTTTGCGGGTAGATTGACTATCGCAGTACTAGAAGCCTCGCACGGGCAGCCCCTCTCTGGTCTGGATTTTTAACGGCTCGCGTAAACGAGATGGATGATGGTTATACCAATATTTATCGAACGCCTAAGGTTTAACCGTGTAGTGGCGGTGTAATGGTTATCAGTGTATTTTTGATTTGATCTGAACCTGCCTACCAAGCGTGGCAACTATGGCACGTGGCAAAATTCTCCCGATGATACAAACTGTAGGAGAGGCGTATGTTTAGCAGTGGACTTTAATAGACTGTAATGAATGGATGTAAGGTATTCTGGCATTTATCAAAGCCTCCTCTTACGTCACCCACGGGGCGAAATAGGGAGTTTGGATTGTCTTACGCCGCCACTACATAGCAGCAGTGATCATTGTAACGGTTTTTTAAATTTATATCAATTGAATGTGAGTCATTGTCACTGCTCAGGGGAGTATGAAACGCTTTTTTAGTTAATTAGGCTTTCTTGGTCTAGCCAGCAGAAAGTCAACAAAACACAAGTTTCTGAGTGAAGGTATAGTTGTGTTATAATTGTCTCCGTCTCCTGAATCCTAGCTTACTTACAATCTTATTTCGTGCATTACGGCGGCTAAAGTTTAATTTTACTGCGGTGGTGCAGTGTCGGCGTAAGAGAACCCACTATTACAAAATAAATAAGTACAGAAGTTGCACTCTTTTGATGTTGACTACTTGCCGACGTTTTTAATAGCCTACATAGTCGCGCACGCAAGCTAAATAAAACTTTATCGCTGCGCGCGAGAGTCCGTATTACTTTGCATCTTTTCTCCTTACTACGTCACAACGGACTTTCCGTGGTTGCTAAGGGCTGTTAATAAACCACTACACCTATGTTCATCAATGGACTTTTCACGGCCTGCAATGAATTAATGAATAAAACCAAGCCAGCACTAAGGCAGTGTTTCGCTACTATTTCAATCAATGTTATGTGGTGAAGTAGCCAAAGATGGTAAAGCGCACTACGCGCGCTTAAACTTTGGTTAGAATAAGCGAGTGCTTCTTTGTTTTTGCGTTCACTTGTGGTTTTGTCACTGTAAACCATTAATAGCAGCGAGAAGCAGCATCGATAATTTTTTTATAGGAAGTCGGCTAAAATCCCCATTTTAAGTAATTTAATACGCTCTTGAGAAAATATTAACTTAGTATTAAAGTGTATGAAAGTTTGAACGGAAATTTTATCTCGTAAAAGTAACGGCAGAATAACAACCGACCCAGTTTCCTGTTGTTATGAACAAAACTGCGTCACTTTCCCCGTAACTTGAAGTTAATCGAATATGTTCATACACGTCGAATTAAATTAACCTCATTACTCTGTAGATGCTATTAACAATATTTGAAATTTTCATAACGTCAGTTTATGTTTCGAGGTAAATATATTTTATTTTTATTTATGTTCGCTTTATTCGATTATCCTAACGTTTTAGGGAGTTCTTAGGGTGTAAATACATAGACATTTGATAAGGCCACTCTTGGCAATCACCCATAGTTGCCAAGCTTGGCAGTCAAGTTGGCAACTGCATTGTTTTACTATTTTGAATTGTTATCAAGAAAATGCTTATGCCCATCTCCTGTTTTATTTTCCCCTGTCACCATTTACGACCGCATATTATGATACGGGTTAGAGCATTTTCGCATATCGCCACACATGCACAAAATGGCGTGACCTCTATTCACCTCTCGTTCGCACACTGTCGCTATCTATACCTACGCACACCCGCCAGTACAGACGTCAAAAAAATACGTTGCGATATGCGTTTTTCGTACGTTCTATAACTTAAGCGATCTAAATACAATAAATTTTATCCGAAAATTTGGAGATTTTCATAAAAATATTTATAAATATTGATAAGTTAAAATAAATGGTATTTACTGATTATCTTAAGTCTAAATACCGCCACATTAATAGATCCCACCCAGGCGAACCAAAGCACGTCCCTAGTAATGTTATTTTAAAATTAAAAAACCTACTTGTGTATACAATTATTTTAAATATTTTCCCATTAATAAAAAAAATCTAACTAACCGAATAATATAACGATATACCATTATTAGCTGGTTTACGTTATTGTTATTGTGCGTGTTGACGGTACGGGCCCGATGAGCCGATAATTTCTAATAACATTCTTTATCCCTACGGACTGTATAAATAATTCCGATAGATGGCAGTGTAACCATCTCGTTTTCATGCTCTCGTGCAGCACCCATACCGGCGACAATCAAACAAAATCAGTTCCTTTGCTAAGCGTGACGATTATGGAAAATCCTCCCTCTTTCGGGAGAGGTCCGTGTCTATTTTATTTATTTTTATTTTATTCGTATGGTTTACTAACAGTCAACTTACACAATAACAACCTTAAATAACAGAAATGTTTCATAAGCTAAGTGTAGTGACTACTTACTAGTAAACACAGCATGCAATATAACAATAACTTAAGTGGGTTTTGATTTTTACTAAATATAGCTAACAATTTTAAAATAAAGAAAAACATTGTTTATCCGTATGGTGAAAGAGAACACAAGCTGGTTGCACGAAGATAAGTTCTAGTCATACTGTCGACAATATTTTAGAAACTGTAAGCGGAATCAAAGTTTACATCAACTCTGTGTTTGTAGCTATTTATCAGCTTACACAGTCTGGGTAATGGAGAGTTGGAGCCAAGAACAGTTCTACGGGTTGCTGATCTCAGTGGTGCTATTGGATAACGCGGATATCTTGAAGGCGAGCTAAAATCAAATGAGTTCAGTAACTGTGGGCAAATAATTCTATTGTTGAGAAATTTATACATAAATAACAAGTCTGTTAACTCCCTACGTTTATCTAAGGATAAAATTTTGAAAAATGTTAGCCTATCTGCACATGAAAAATCTCTCTTTGCTTTACCAATGAATCGTGCCAAATGCCACAGAAACCGCTTCTGAATATGCTCAATGCGTAGATTGTGAACCGCAAAGTATAGACGCCAGACAAAAGAACAGTACTCGAGTGTGCTACAAACGAGACTATTATACAGCATTTTCTTAGTTTTAATGCTGAATCCTTTGCTATTTTGTATGACGAACCACAGCAGCCTTGAGGTTTTTTTAACGATGTTTTCGTAATGAGGTATAAATGTCAGCTTCCTGTCAAAATTAACCCCTAAATCTTTTATAACCTCGACCTCTTGAATAATATACTCATCTATTTTATAACTAAATGAAATAAGGTTTACTTTTCTGGTAAATTTGACGAGTTGACATTTTTTCGGATTTAGTGTCATTCGGTTGTCTCTGCTAAACGTAGTGATTATATTCTCTTTGGTCTCTGCACCAATCAATAAGATTTTTCATATCCCTTTGTCATAATATTGAGTCTTCCATTGTATTTATATGTCTTAAGAATTCAGATCATTGGCATACATAAAGTTAGTTAGTTGAGTAGCTGTGGGATGTGGGATGTGGTTAGTAAAAGAGTTAAAAAGGATAGGGCCAAGATCCTTGTGGCACACCTGAGGTAATACTAATATTACCAGATCTAAAGCCGTTGACCATAACGTCAAAAGTCAGATCCTCTAGATATAATAATAACCATGTTAAAAAAAACCAGTAAACCCATAACATGCTACTTTATTGAGCAGAATATCATGAGGCACTTTGTCGAAAACTTTGCTAAAATCAGTATACAGGACATCGATCTGCTGTTTACAGTCGAATGCTTGGGCCAGATTCTCGACAAAGCTTGTTAAATTTGTGCATGTAGACCTGGATTCAACAAATCCATACTGATTGTCTTTAATGTAAAGCTTAAGGTGATTTTGAATTGAGGGACATACAGCCTTAAAGATCTTTGCAAAAGTAGACAAGATCGAGATAGGTCTATAATTGCTAACCAAAAATTCATCATCATACTTGTATATCGGTACTACTTTTGCTTCTTTCCATTGTTTAGGAAATGTACCAGTGCGTAATGATATATTATATATGTAACACAGCGGGATGACTAACGTGGAGGAATATAAAGCTATGAAAAATCCCCTTTACATCGATCCAACCGTTGTAGTTTACTCAGGAGCGCTTTCCCTGTAATCACCGATACAAAAGCAATCTGACAGTAATTATTAATAGAATTTAGTGAGGGGTGATGATAACGTTCACACACGTTGTTACTGCGACAGTTATTATCATTGTACGCTAACGAAAAATTCTTGGCAAATATACCACATGTAGTAGAGCCGTCAAATGTAGTAATGATCTCGTCACTCATTGTAGCAGGGTAGGACCTTTTTCTCCTATGCTTATTTTTAACAAATATCCAGAGCAATTTTAGGTTAGCAATTTATTAATTTAAGAGTTATACCTGTCAATAGCCAAAGTTTCACAACGCTTACTTACAATTTTAAGTTCCAATTTGTCGCTCGGATTTCCGTATAATTTATAACGCCATCGAAGATTATTCTTTTCTTTTAGCCTACGAATTAAATTACGGTCAAACCATGGTGGGTAACATCCTTTCTTTCCAAAACATTTATAAGGTACAAATTTACGTATGTTTTCCCATAAAATATCG